GTGGGACATATTTATGAAATTTAGTTTCATGTTATTACTTTATTTAAACGGTTCGACCATATGTTTAACTAGTTAAACCAATGAACCTTAAACTGAAGGTTTCATCACTTCGATCTTAAGTCCAGTTTTTAAAACATTGATCCATAGCACATATGCATGTGTCTGATTAGCTGAGAAAAAAATTGGATGATAAGTTAAGTCAAATGATCCTAGTGCGATATCATTCGACTGGTGGATACAAACTGTTTGACCCGGTGAATAAACAATTTGTGATCAACAGGGATGTGATCGTAGATGAGCTTAAGGAGTGGGATTTGACTAAGAATATCAAAAAGGATTCAGTGATTTGAATAAGAACATCAAAAAGGATTCGGTGAAAATCATGTGAGATGAACCACCTAGTGAAGTTGTTAGAGAAGTTCAACAAGACACACTACAAAATATACCTTTCGTAACACCAATTTTGCAACGACCATAATGTTAACCGTAGTAATAGTTTATTTTTAGACGCTTTTTTTTTGTATTTACTAGAGGACATTTCACAAATGTTAAATGAAGCAAATGTGGTGAAAAGGTACATGGGGTGAAATGGTTCGAGTCCCATCACCTACAATTAGTCATTTATCGTGATAAAAAAGTTATTGACCTTGTATATCACCACAGTTTTTATTAACAACTGTGATGAAAAATGATACTTTATTTATATATAAGCGAAGTTATTTATAACTTCAGTACATTACAGTCATCTCTCTCAAAACAAAACCCTATAAACTCTTTCACTCGTCTCTCTCAAAACAAAACCCTAACAACTCTCTCATATGAAAACCCCAAAACAAAACCATAACAAAAAATCTTAGACGGATATTTATAGATTCCTTTTTTCTATAGCTTTTTTTCAAAGTCTGTTTTAATAGCTTGTTTCAATATGTTTGAACTTCCTTCTTGTTTTGACTTGTAGGTATGGATGCTTCTTTCAAAAAAAGAGGACGAAGATAAATTTAGTCTTACAAACTTGTGTCAAAGATCCAGAATGACATCCATTCAAAATATACACAAGTTTGCAGGTCTAAATTTATCTTCGTCCTTATTTCATTGACAAGGCGCCTTTATGGGATATGTATGGCATGTTTCTGAAGTATTTTATGACTTGATATGTTTGTTGTATCGTTTTTGTTGTTTATGGTCTGTTGTTGCTGAATGTTTTTTATGAATGTTATTGTTAATGTTTGTTTAAAAGATGATTTTATTATATATTATGTGGTTTGAGTATTTTTCCAATCCCTTACCGAATATATAACTTTCCAAACTGTATTAGAAAATTATGATATGATAGATAAAATTGTATTAGAAAATAAGTACACGCTCAATTCTTAACAAGAATTCTTCACACTGTTAACTACTTGTTGTTCTTTGACTGTTAGAACTTAGTTTAATGATCGTAGATCTTCAACCACCCCTTTCTCCACCTCTAATTTTGTTTGCAAAGTAAATAATATTCTGCGAAAACAATTAGAGGTGAAGACATGGGCGGTTGAAGAACTAGGATCATTAAACCAAGTTTTTACAGTCAAAGAACAAAATACAGTAAGGACTTGAAGAAGTCTTGTCAAGCATTGAACGTGAACTTATTCTTCTAATACAACTTAATTTGTCATATTATAATGTTCTAGTGTAGATTGGAAGGTTATATGTTTAGTGAGCATTGTTGAAATAATAATTCCACATAATTTATAATAAACTCAGGTCTATATTTAATCATGGTTGTTTAGAACAACCGTGAGTAAACATGTTATATTAAATAATATCAAAACGGTTGTTTAAAGTAATCGATGTAGTAGGTAGCACGCTACATGGATACAATCACGGTTGCACGACCGTGGTAGAACTCATCATACATACAATCATACATTACCTCACAATGGTTAGACCAGCGTGGTGGCATCCCTTTTCCAACCGTTGTAATATGTGTTTTTCGTAATAGTGAGAAGTTGTCAAAGGTCAAGCTAGCATGAGCAAATCTCAGAGAGCAAGAAACATGCCTGCAAGACTGCAGGAATGTGTAATCACCTTAGATGATGTGGTCGATGACGAAGGTGAGTTAGTAAATTATGCCTTTTATGCAGATACAGATCCAGTCGATGCAGCTGAAGCATTGAAAGACTCAAGGTGGATGAAAGCTATGATGGATGAGATAAAATCCATTGAAGACAATGACACTTGGTCACTAGTCGAATTTCCAAAAGGGAAGACGGAAATTATTGTGAAATGGGTTTACAAAGTCAAGCTAAATAGAAAAGGTGAAGTAATTCGACTCAAGGCAAGACTTGTAGCAAAGGGGTTTCTTAAAAAAAAAAGGAATCGACTATGATGAAGTCTTTGCACCGGTAGCTAGAATCGGAATAATCGGGTTGGTTATTGGTCTAACCAATATACATAACTAGTCAACATGTCAGATGGATATGAAATGTGGATTCATGAATGACCCTCTAGACGAAGAGGTGTATGTGACACAAATAGTTGGGTTTGTGAAACATGAGCATGGTGTGTATGTCAGGAGAAGGAGGAGTGAGTTGCATATACTATGTCTATATGTCAATGACCTGTTGATAATAGACAGTTGCAAGAAGGAGATCAAAGATTTCAAACACGACTTAAGTAAGGAGTTTGAAATGTCAGACTTGGGAAATCTCTCATTCTTCCTTGGTATCGAATTCTACAGGAATGGTAGAGGCTTAATGATGCACCAAAGAAGATATACAGGTGAAATACTTAAGAGATTTGAGATACAAAATTTCAACCCAACTTTGACTCTAGATGAGCCCAGATTGCAACTAATAAAAGGTTTGACTGAAGGTGATGTTGATCCAACACGCTACAGAAAACTCATTGAATCACTTAAATACCTCTGTCACACAAGGCCATATTTAGCCTATTGTGTAGGCATGGTTAGCAGATTCATGCAGAAGCCAAAAGTATCCCATCTTGCAGCCACCAAGAGGATACTAAGGTATCTCAAAGGAACATTCGGCTATGGTATTTTGTTTCCTTCAGTTGATGAACGAAAAGAATACAAATTTATGAGCTACATTGAATCTAGTTGGTGTGGTGATGTAGAAGATAGAAAATCGGCAGCACGATATGTGTTCATGTTAGGTGGTGCCCAACCGTGTGGAGTTTGAAAAAGGAACCGGTGGTAGCTTTATCATCATGTGAGGCAGAATACATAGCATTTTTTTATGTGCATGCCAAGAAACATGAAAGATGAATATAGTCAAAGAAATAACATGGATGAATCATAGAGCAATGACCATAAAGACCAACAACATGTCGACTATCAACCTCACAAATAATTTGATAGCAATAAAACACGTCGAAATGAGGTTCTGTTACGTGAGAGAGCAGACAACGAATGGAAAGTTGATCCTAGAGCATTGCAAATCAGAGAATCAGATTGCAAATATAATGATGAAGGTTGTGTTGGTCGGATTTGTCAAGAGATTAAGAACAACGGTGAATATAGATAGCTTATACACAATGAATTAGGTGGTTTATTAAATATGTAATTCTTTGTGTCAGAGTCAAAATAGCATGCAAATATGTAGTTTGTGTCAAATAGAGTTTGTATTTGATGTATTTTACAAATAGTCAAATACAGCTTGACTAAGCATGTAGTTGTCGAAGGAGTCGACAAAGTCGAAATAGACTGACTTACCTTAGTTTTAGTTGAGTTAGTTATTTTTTTGATTATTTGGAGTGCAAGTAATCTCATATATAAATAGAGAGGAGCTCTATTTCATTTGTATGAAGAAGTTTTTGGAGAGAAAGTTTGCAATGGCGTTGTGTAGTTTCAGAAATCACGGTTATGATTAATACACATTGCAACAAACAATTAGAGTGCAGTTTGCACAAAAATAAATTCTTCTTCTTCCTCTAGAATTTTTCTTTCCTCTTACTTTCAGTTGTCTTGTTTTCTTCTTTCAATTCTCTGTGTAGTGTATAATCATCTTGCAACCAAGAGACGTGATCAATTAGAAAGATTGATTCTTCTTAATCAAGATTGATTTAATTAACTTTAAGATTAGAGTTTTCCCAACAGGATGTAATTTTCCTATATTTATATTTTTTAAGTCATTTATGTTAAGGATATTTTTAGGCAAAATTGATATATTAACACCATGTTAATTATACAAATATAATTCAAAGATGTCATATATAAATTCAAACTAATAAATATTCAACCATTACCACGTTACATAACTTGTTTAGAAAATACAAATAAAAATACAATTGTTCTTTTATCAAAATACAAATACAAATAAATTATTGTGTATATCTAAACCCCATGTTTCTCTTATGTCGCATGTACCCCAAGGCATTATGTGTCTCGGCTAAGATGGCTCGTACGACGTCCATATAAGAACTGCATTTTCAAATTCTCGTTTCTCTATGGCATCTTCCACAATCGCCACAATACGATGACAAATTGACAGGAAGTCCTGGGCGTGGCCCGTTCATCTTATAATATCTCATGATGAGCTGATTTAAGTTGTGCTCCCACAACATCTGGTGTCATGGAAGGATGTTACACATGATAGAGCCAATAAATGTAGTCATATGCAGCAGCCCAAAGATCAAACGTTGGAACCTTGTGTGCCTCATCATGTGCCAAATGACTATAAAAATCATCGAGTACGACATCAAGATCTTTGCGCTGGAATGTCGGAGGAGTAGGCACGAAGGGAGGTCTTAGAATAACGTAAAAATAGCTTAATTGGTGTATGACCCGCTCAGGCATATATGGGCAGATTAGGCACGACCCTTAAGCTAACCAACCAAAGTAGAAGCCTGAGACACATGTCCTCGAAAGGTCGAAGTCTGAGACACGCGGCCTTGTGAAGTCTAAGATACACGACCATGTGAAGTCGATGCTTACGCATTAGCACTAACTCGTACTGTCCTTTCCATACGAATGAACATGTGTTGGAATACAAAATCGTTCCTCAATCTATCTTTATTTTTAGCCATTGTTCTCCTATAATACAAACCAAGAAATCATATCAAAATCAATGCAAAGTCAAATCCTAAGATACATCTCCATAGAACACGAAAAGCAAAAACTGAAGATGCATCTTCGTAATAATGCACGATTTTGCAGGAAAAAAAACAGAAACTCGTCTGTTATACTCAATCCGAGATATATCAATTAAAACTCATCCGGAGATGTATCTCCGCAAAATTTACCGAGCATAAAACCCTAAATTTTCAAATAAGAGTTATTATAAAGATGCATCTCCAAAAATATTTTTGAACAAAATAGAATGCCTCATTCACTAAAGCATTGGGGTTGTGTAATTTAGGTGTCTCAAAATGCATCTTTGAAATCAAGAAATTTTTGTGACTTTTCACCGCAATGAATTAACAATCCATGGGAGGGAAAAGTAACCCCTAAACAAAATTGTATCGGCTATATATGATACACTAACCCATTTGATAGTGAAAAAAAAAACAATAAAAAAGTCGACTGATCCATGACATATACCTCCCCATACAGAGTGAATGCTCTGCTGATATGTTAACTCACTACTCAAACTCAGATTTCTTAATTTTATGTCAATTGTCACATACTCTACTCTTGGAAAAGAAGATGCTGCATCGTGTACGCTGCTCGTACCATTACCGTTAGGACTAAGATACATGGAGAAAACTCAATCTAAAAGACTAACCTGTGGAATATTAGGAGTAAAAGCCTCATAGACACAAATTTGCTCTAATCAATAATTGAACTTAGATTCCTAACCATCACAGAAACCTGCAGTTCTGCTGATAACGGAATTAGCTGCAGTAAATAATGCACTCGATAACACATAGACATTGTTTTTTATTTCGGCCATTTACTTTAAATCGTCCAGTTCAGATTGAAAACTGTCTTTTTAGTTAAAACAATCTCGACCATTAAATTAAAATCAAACTCAAATTGGTTATTAACAGCTGGAAAATCCAATCCATCCTGCAGTAAGAACTTAAGAAATAAGACTATTTGATTGAAATCGGAAAATCCAAATTCAAAAACTCAGCCAACGAATCAAAAATATTGTAAGCTATTGATCAAAAACGGAAAATTGTTATCTTCATGTAGTCAGTTATATAAGGACTAAAGATAGAAGGAGTATAAATAATGACAACTGCAAAAAGAAACCAGTTCCACACTTTAACTTTATTTTTTTCAACAATTTCATCATACAACAACATTATTTGGACAAGCATTTCCATTCTATTTCTTACCAAGAGCAGCTCTCCATTTGATCTGAAGAGCTTTGGAAAGCTTAACAAGTCTCTCAGTCTCGGGTATAAGCCCGACGACAGCAGGGTCGGCAACAAATCTCTCAGCCCATTTCACCAAATTAGGAGCCTTTTCTTCAACCAACACTTTCCTATTATACTCATTCTCTATCACACTTAGCCATCCCAAAAAGCTCCCAAATGCAACATCAAGATATCCAATCCTGTCACCACCATAAAAGGGCTCTCCTTTACTGCATTTTTCAAAAGCATCCTCCATCCTTTCCACCACTTCTTCCATCACCTCAAAATATGGCTTCCTTTCCTCCTCTCCTTCAACAGTAATTATGCTTTGCATAGAAGGAAACCACTGTACCATTTACGCACATGAAATTAACTTGTAAATCAAACAAATGAATTCATTACATAGAAGAAAAAAGGAAAGGAAAGAGCAAAAAAGAAAGTACCTTTTGATCTATATAAGCAGCCCAGAATCGAGCAAGAGCTCTATCATAAGCATCGGTGGGGAGAATAGAAACAGCAGTTAACCAAGTTTCATCAATATATTCAACAATGATGAGAGATTCACAGATGGGTTTGTTTTGGTGAATGAGAACAGGGACTTTGCCATAAACAGGGTTGGATTGAAGAAGAAGATCACTTTTGGGGTTAAAAGTTTCGTTCTCTTCAAAGTTTTCATATTCAAGTGATTTGATGTTAAGGGCAATCTTCACCCTTGTCACATAAGGACTTGACCATTTTCCAATAAGCTTCACTTCACTCTTGTTGGCCATTGAATTTGGATATCTATGATGAATAATGGTGGAAATTTATATTACATTGTTTTATATCAAACTATCCTTTTTGCAGTGACGTTATACCAGCAGACAAGACAAAGAACAGACACATAGCATCTTGATGGATTCCAATAACATTGTTTATATCAAAATATTCTTGTCCTTTTTGTAGTGACAGTGACGTTATACCAGCAGACAAGACAAAGAAACAAACACACAGCATCTGGATGGTTTTCAATAACACTTTATTTATCTCTCAACCGAAACCCAGACTATTAGAACCTCCCCTAGGAATAGGAGGATAACATAAAAATAAATAAATAAATAAATAAATAAAAGTTTTGAAGTTCCATGCTATCAAATTAGCCATTTATATGGTTTAACCTATATAGGCACAGACATGACATCCAATCAATTGTTTTCTATAATTAGATCATGTAATCCTGAATAATGAAAGGAAAATAGGATCAATCAAGTGTCTTAATTACTATGCTATTATTTACTATAAATTCACAAGCATATCAGATTGAAAGAGAGGCTTACACTGTAATGCATTTTGCATACAAAATACAAATGAAGTGCCGTGCTTTGACTTTGTAGTACACTGATTTAAGAATTTGTCATTCCATGAGTTCCATTAACTATTCCAATTCCAACCCAGCCACCACCACGTGTGAAATATTAGTTTCAACCCTGTTCAAAGGACATCATGATCAGCAAGGATTTGAATCTTTTTTTACCTATTAGCAATTATGTGAATTCAAATTTTCATATAAGAGAAATAGGTAAACAGTGTGCAAAAGATGATGATTGATGAGCTCAAAAACATAAAACTATGCAGTGCCAATATCAAACTCAGATTATGGAGAAATCAGAAACCAGAGTGTTGTCAACAAAGATGTGATGGTAACCCAGACAAGCACAGCATTATCAATATTACTAAAGATGACATCCAAAACCAAATGCAATCAAACTTGCAACCAGAAGTTCAGAACTTCAAAACAAAAGGGAGCAAATTTGATCTTTGGCATAACCCACTGGTCTAGCTGAAAGTTAAAAGCAAGAAAGATATAGGCATAAAGTATTAGAGCAATCATGGACCAAAATTGTGATGCAAGACAAGCAAGCAACTTGCAAAATTTCAGAGCAGGCTCAGAGAAATGCAACTTGTGAATTGCAAATTGGATGGAATGAAGTTGCAAAAGAAAATGATAGATATCATTAGGGTTCATTAGACCGAACTTCATTTTTGGACTGATACTGATAGGAATGGATCGGATCCCACAAATGATGATGGGAATGTGTTAGTTAATAGAGATATTATTGGACCTAAACAATGGATGAGAAAGAATAGGAAACTCCACAAATAAATAGGAGTTAGTTTAGGTATTATTCTCCATATAAATAGGAGTTAGTTTAGGGATTATTCTCCATATAAAGAGGAGTGTATGGGGCAGTAGTTAGGCATTGATTGATTTTCTGTTTTTGACCTTAGGGTTTGGGCAGTGAGAGAATTATTTCTCTGACTGAGGAGCAGTAGCTCTGGAATTTATTTTACTTTCATAGTCATTAATAAAATACTTTTCTTTATCGTATTATATCAGACCTCTGTTCTATCAATTGGTCCGACCTACCATTGTTCATGCCCAAAGCTCCTAAGATGGCTGACCGTGTTTCTGCAGTGGAAGAAAGGTTGGAAGGTGTTGAGGCTAGCATTGCTGCGTTACGAGAGTTCATTGGTGCTGAGATTCAACGTGCAATGGCTCATCGTGCAGTGCCACAGCCAAGCAGTGCGACAGTTGCCTCACCGCTGGATGAGTTTCGTTTATCTGCGAAGAAGGTGGAGTTGCCGGCATTTACCGGTGACGATCCGGTTGCATGGATCACTCGGGCAGAGACATACTTTGAGGTACAACGAATTTCGCAGGATGTTCGTATTCAGTTGACCAAATTGAGTATGGAAGGCCCTACTATCCATTGGTTTAACCTATGGCATGATTCAACAGAGGAAGTGTCATGGGAGAACCTCCGTGAGGCGATGATGGTTCGATTTGGAGGTGGGCGTTTGGAGAATCCGTTTGAGGAATTAAAGGAACTAAAACAATCGGGATCAGTAGAGGAATATATTGCTGAATTCGAACTGTATTCTTCACAGTGTGGTCGTTTACCAGAACAACAATTTCTAGGTTATTTCATTGGTGGTTTACGTCATGATATTCGTTCTCGTGTGCGTACCTTCAAGCCTCGCAACCGTTACCTAGCAATGCAATTGGCTCGTGATGTTGAAAGTGAATTTGCAGTGGCTTCTGGACAGGGTTCTGAAGCACGTTACAAACCGGGTCATGGTTCTTGGACAAAATCTCAAAAGCCTAATTGGGCTTTTCGCGAAGGGGAAGGGAACGGATCTGCAACTCAGACCCAACCTAATAATCCTTTGGGCCAAACGCGAACTGGTTCGGATTCTGGATCTCAAACCATCTCAACACGTCCTACCAATTCTACAACATCTTCTCGCCCAAATTTAGGTGACAATTCACGCCGTCAATCTCGTGGTGTTCGTCATCTACCAAGTGCAGAGGTTAATGAGCGTCGTGCGAAAGGACTCTGTTTTCGTTGCAACGAACGATGGGATCCTCTCCATGAATGTGCAACAAGACAGTTACGAGTGATTATCTTGGGGGATGACGAAATTGTTAACGATGCAGGAGAGATTGTGGTGTTGGAGGCTGCGACGGAAGAAGAGCTCACACAAGAGGAATTAGAATGTAAAACCATGGGGCTGTTTGGTGTATCCACTAATCCAAATCAGGTCCGGAGGATGAAATTGGAGGGATGTTTACAAGGTGCATTAATTCTGGTACTTATTGACAGTGGAGCCACACATAATTTCATATCACCTAAGGTGGTTGAAGCCCTGGGATTGTCTATGGTGCCTTCTAATCCTTTGGGTGTTAAGTTAGGAGATGGTCATCGTGTCCTAACTAGGGGTAGATGCAATGGGATTCAGATGAAAGTGGGATCAGTGCAGATTTGCTTTGATGCTTATGTGTTGGAGTTAGGAGGTGTGGATTTGATTTTAGGAGTTGTGTGGCTAGAAACTTTGGGGAAGGTGACCATGGATTGGAAAGAAATGTCTATGGAGTTCAACCATAAAGGCAGTATGGTGAAACTACTTGGTCAGGCTGTAGATGATAAGATGGCTACTTTCCAAAGCATTATCACTCCTTCTCGAATGATAGCAGGCTGTGAATGGCCTACCTTGATGGAGGTGTTAGGGTCACCGGTGTCGTGTGTCTCTGATCAACAGACTAAGGAGTTGGAAGGATTGCTGAAGAGTCAATTTCCTGATCTGCGCCTTGAGGACAAGGCTAATGTTGTAGGTGGGGGTGATGATAGGAATGGATCGGATCCCACAAATGATGATGGGAATGTGTTAGTTAATAGAGATATTATTGGACCTAAACAATGGAGGGTATATGTGAGAAAGAATAGGAAACTCCACAAATAAATAGGAGTTAGTTTAGGTATTATTCTCCATATAAATAGGAGTTAGTTTAGGGATTATTCTCCATATAAAGAGGAGTGTATGGGGCAGTAGTTAGGCATTGATTGATTTTCTGTTTTTGACCTTAGGGTTTGGGCAGTGAGAGAATTATTTCTCTGACTGAGGAGCAGTAGCTCTGGAATTTATTTTACTTTCATAGTCATTAATAAAATACTTTTCTTTATCGTATTATATCAGACCTCTGTTCTATCAGATACTTACGGGGTAAGTATTTAAACAAATAAGTTCTAGTTTTTTAAAGATGTAGCATTCAAATGAAGTGATTTTTGTTAACACGTCTGCTTATATAAACTACAAAGTTCAGCATTTATTACAGTTCTCTATAATAGGATTTGATGGATGGCAAAACCACACCAGAAAAATAGAAGGTTGCAAGAGTTGCTTAATTTAAATCTCTATTTACATCTTTCTATTGAAAAAAAAATTCTCTACTACATTTCTTTCTAATATTGAGGGGGACAAAAGGGGCAAAGGCTAAAGCACATCCATCTTACAGGATTTTTATACAATAACCTCAACAAATCTTGAACTGTCCTTTTGAATTTGATGATGTTACACTTTGTGAAAAATCTATTCCAGTGTTTTGCAGAAACCTGGAAGTCAAGTGTCACACTATGATGACAAAAATTGGTGGTCCGGTCCAGTCTATGTAGCATCGACATTTCAAATTGAAAGTGTGTTTGCCATGTCTCAGTGTCTAACAACAACATGACACCAATATGTATTTCATTTGCTCAAATAATTATTTGTATTGGCGTGTCAATTTTAGTGTCTTGTCTGGTATCTGTGCTTGATAGGTTGTGATGTCGAATTATCTTTCAAGTGATCCAGCAAGAAAGAAAATACTGTCCCTGATAATTCTGTCATAAACTGCAGACAAAAGTCAACTAAGTTTCCTTAACAAGACATTTCTCGATTGCTTCATCACAAAGCTCAAGAGTGATTTCCCAATTCCCTTCTTTATAGTTGACATCGACAAAAATATCATATAAATATTTCTCAGCAACCAAGCCATGTGTTCTCATCTCCTCAAATAGCTTCCTAGCTTCCACAAATTTCTTTCTCTTATAGAAACCTCTTATAAGAGCATTATAGGAAGCGGTGGTAACACTAAATCCTTTTCCAACCAATTCTTTATGCAGGTACCCTGCCTCTTTCATGTTTCTAGCCTTACAATGCCCTTTAATCAAAATATTATAGGTGTTACTGTCTGGCATCACTCCTCGAGCGTGCATACTCTTGTAAATCTCAGTAGTTGCACGCATGTTATTGCTAATGCAGTACTGCTTCATAAGAGAATTGAATGTTGTAGCATTTGGCATTATACCCTTCTCTAACATCCATTTTATTAACCTTTCACCTTCTTCCAACATCCCTGACATGCAAAACCCATTCATTAACACATTGAATGTAACACTTGTAGGATGAAGTC